ACACACACACACACACACACACACACTCACACTCACACACACACACACTCACACACTCACACACACACACTCACACACACACACACACACACTCACACTCACACACACACACACACACACACACACACACACACACTCACACTCACACACAAAGAGGAGGAGCAGCTGGCAGGACAGCAGGAGCCAGAAACAGACAGAACCAGAGAGACAGTTCATAGTGCTTTTAATACACTCCAGTCCTCTACAAACACGCACTGAAGCTCCTACACACCTGCACACACCTACACAACACTCTTACATGAAGCGGCCCACTCACACACACACACACAGAGCGCAGATCTTATGTAATCATAACATGTGGGCTGCGACACACATCATCTTAAACGAGCTGTGCAACACACTTCATCTATTATATTACATTCAGAGCGAATCTCAGGCGCTGATGACTTCTGTGAACCGCATTCGTAAGACGATTGCCAGAAGACAAACATGTTCTTTCACAAATCTCGCCTACATCAGATCAGAGATGATTCAAATCACAGAACCACTGATCTCTGACTTGAGAGCATTTTAAAGCACATGGCTCATCATCTCATTCACATTTACATCTGTTCATTTAGCAGGCACTTTTACCCAAAGTGACGCACAAACGAGGAACATCACAGATCATTTATCAGACAGAAGCTAACAAGATTTGCAATGTTCAGCTCTACTCATCACATCTCCTCTCACCTCACCGCATCACATCTCATTTGATCTTTTCTCTGACTGTCTCCATTTTTTCTGAACATCACATCTCTAATCATGTCATGCAATCTTGCTTCATGCCTCATCACATCTCATCATAATATCTCAATTCTGTTTATCACCGCTCATTTCTGACAATCACATCTTATCTTTGGTTAATCTCAAGTCAGTATGCCTCATCATCTCATCCCTAATCATAACATTTCATCTTATTATCACATCTCATCTCTGATCATCTCCCATCGGATTATCATCTCTCATCTCTGATTGTAACATCTCATCACTGACCATCACGTTGCATCTGATTATCACATCGCATCTCAGATCACATCTCATGTGATTATCCCATCCCATCCGATCATAACCTCTCTTATATGATTAGCATTTTTCATCTCTGAATGTAACATCTTATCTCTGACAATCACATTGCATGTGATCATCACATCTCATCTCTTCCTCTCATTTTACCTAATCACATTTCATCTGATTATCACGTCACCCCTCATCAATAATATCAAATTTCTGATCTTCTTATTTTATCACATAATATCTTACCTAATCTATTTGTTCAGAAAATCATAACACTGTAAAATCGTAACATCACATCTCTGACCATAACATTGCATTTAATTATCACATCTCATCTGATTATCATATGGCATCTCTGATTGTAACATCTCATCTCTGATCATCTTTTCTCACTTCATTAAGTCTTACCTCATCACATCTCATCTCTCATAACATCTCAAATCTGTTTATCACTGCTCATTTCTGACAATCACATCTTATCTTTGGTTATCCTACTTAATGTCAAGTCATCATTATGCCTCATCATCTCATCCATGATCATAACATCTGGTCTGATTATCACATCTCATCTCTGATTGTAACATCTCATCACTGACCATCACATTGCATCTGATTATCACAACTCATCTCAGATCACATCTCATGTGTTTATCACATCTCATCTCTGACCATAAACTCTCTTATCTGATTAGCATTTTTCATCTTTGAATGTAACATCTTATCTATGACCATCACATTGCATTTGATTATCACATCTCATGCCTAATCATATCTCAACTCTGATCATCTCATCTTACCTCATAACATCTTACATCATCACATTTCATCTGATTAGCACATCACGTCCCTCATCAATAATATCTCATTTCTGATCATCTCATAATATTTTACCTAATCCATTTCATCAAATAATCTAATCTCACCAGATTATCACATCTAATCCCTGATCACATCTCATGTCTGATCATCTCATTTTACCTCATAACATCTCGCACCATCACATTTCATCTGATTATCACATCTCATCCCTCATCAATAACATCCTATTTCTGATCATCTCATAATATCTGACATTATCCATTTGATCTGAAAATCATAACATTGTAAAATCGTAACATCTCATCTCTGACCATCACACTGCATCTGATCATAACATCTCAGATCATCAGATTATATATATACCGTTCATAATATCATCGCATCTCATCTCTGACTCATCTCTGGAGATCTCACTGTCACGTCATCTCGTATCACCTACTATTCTCTGTGATTATCGAGTGTTTCGCAAACCCTCAAAGGGGTCGGGAGCTGAAACTGTGCCGTCTGAATACGCGACTGGAATCTAAAGCCGTTTCTCTTCATAATGTTCTGAGCACCAGAGCAATCAAAACAAACCTGCAGGGTCTTCTCGACCTCCACAAAAAACTTCATAAACATGCCTCCTCATAAACTCTTTATATATGAATATGAGAGAGGGATGTGGGCGTGTTTGTGTGTGGAGGCTCCGCCCCTCTCACCTGTGTAGTCGTGGAGACACTGGCAGGTGAAGCCTCCCTCGTGGCTGCGGCAGACGCCGTGAGCGCCGCAGGGTTTGGAGTAGCACAGGTCGATCTCCGTCTCGCAGTAGTCGCCCGTGAAGCCGAGCGGACAGCGGCAGCGCAGCCCTGCGATCGGGTGGATCGGCCGGAACAGGATGGTGTCGGACGCCACGAACAGCGCCAGGCTGTCGAACTTCAGCACGGATACACACTTCATGTAGTTCTCGCACGGCTCGCGCAGGCAGATGTTGTCGTCGAACGGGAGCACCTCCTGCAAAAAAACAACATCTTAGAGGTGTAACGGTACACAAACATGACGGTTCCATACGAAGCTCGGTTTTGACGTCAAGGTTCGGTATGGTTTCAGTGCAGCAGGAGGAAAAAGCTAAACATGACTTGCTTCTTTTTTAAATTAAACAATAGTTTACTGAACAAATTGCTCTTTCTTTAAATAAATTCAATTGGAATTTGTATTTTTTTAGGGATACAAATCTACCTCAGCTTCTCTGAACTACAGGGAGCACTTTTACATTACTATACGTTTACAATAAACAACAGAGCCCAAACTTAAATTCAATTACTATACGTGACCCTGGAGCACAAAATTAGTAATTTTTTCGAAATTGAGATTTATGCATCATATGAAAGCTGAATA